ATCTTTCCACCAATCAATAAAGTGGAAGCAATTCCACTAAATGCACACGAAATACAGCGAAAATTAAGGGAATTTAATTTACGAATTATAGCCGTTTGTGTGAATGTTTTCCCACAACCTGCATGGGCTGTCAAACAAAACACATTTGATCCTATATCGTGATACTGAACTTCACGAATAACTTTATCAATAGTATCACGCTGTTCATTATTTGCGCAATCATAAAGCTCATTAAATAAACATTCTTCTACAAAAGGATCAAAAATATCGAGATCAGTAAATTCTGGTATTATTGTAGGTGTAGGCAAACCAAGTGACGTACATGTAACATTATGTGTTAACAAAATTTCCTCGATTTCCAATAATACTCTATTAAAAGAAACATCTACACTACAACCATCTCTAACGAAATCTTCGCTTAAATTATCTCTAAATTCCACCCAAAGTGCTACTGCATTTGCTGGAATATTTAAGGCACAAATAATCGCAAACAAATTACGCATTTGTTTTGCTGAATTAAATGTCTTAGCTTCATTCAGACAAACTCTCCACTCATTATCATTGGACGCAATTCCCCTAGCATGACATGCTTCGATAAATGTGCTATAAACAATTCCATTGAACGTACGCACATCTTCATATGATTTTGGCCCTTTTACATGCAACAAAAGTAATCTTAAATGGAATAGCTCGATTTCTTTGGGAGACACCATATACATCCGAGTAATAATTTTATCTCCTCCTCGTTGTCTTTTTTGCCAAGATTTTCTACTATCAATCCAAACATAATGCAATGAAATTTCTATATACGTATATTGATTAGCAGATGAATCACTTTGATTCAATTGAAAGAAAGCTAATAGCTTCGTAAGCTTAGGATTTTCTACTGCTTGTCTTTCTTGGCCTTCGCGAAATATAATATTTTGTCTTTGTGGCAAATGAATGTCAAGACGAATTATAATATGAGACTGAAAATGCATAGGAAATTCATATATTCGCCACATAGCCTCAGTTGATCCCTCATATCGACCATTCAAAAAATTTCTAACTTCATCTACTTCAACTTGTACTTGTTGGTCATTTTCGTTTGTGCTTTCACTTTGAATTAAAACAGTTGCACTATCAAAACCCTTATATACATATTTATATATGTATTTAATACTTTTGACTGAAGTGCACACCTCGACATTAATGTGACAATTATATTTTGCAAGCAAATATGGGTTGTATGGAACGACATAACGATTATCTAAAGACTTTCCTCTAACATCAACGGAAACATTATTATCGCGCCGTCTATACAACGGATAACCATTAACTGATTCTTTCGTTAATTGTACAAAATCCTTTGGAAATTGTTTTGAACATTTTCCATCTTGCATACATACAGAGCTTGGATTCAAAACACCGCATGGACCGTGCATCATGTGTTTGACAACAAATTCATGTAATTTTGGCTGCAAATTTTTATCCGGTATCTCTGCACAAACTATTTTATCAATATCAGCCGGCCCGACAATTTTGTCATTTTCACATAAAGTTATCAAAATGTAAGGATGAGGCAAACCTCTTTTTTGAAATTCGATTGTATATATAAGAGCCTCAACTTTGCCAAAAATATATTTATTCCAAATGTCAGAAATGAGTTCTTTTAACTTCGATTTAAATACACGCACAACTATTTCAGGCCTGAAATGAGATGATTCATTAGGATCAATATTATATACAATTTCCGCCCAATTCGGATTGCAAGTCATTGTAACAAAAAGCGATGGCTTGCCGAAGTACTGAACAATTGACATTGCATCTAAGTAATTTTGATACATGTTTCTCGGAGACCCAGTGAAGGATGAAGACAAAATCACTTTACGACCTAAGCTACCATCTCCTACTTGATTCGTTTGCAAATAATCACTAATATTGTTATACACATCTGCCCTCAAATTTACTTGATTCTGTCTTATAAAATGTAGTCGACATACTTCTATTCTCACATACATATCAACAATGTATTGCAAAAATAGTTTTTGCGATTTATGCAAAAAGCTAAATTGATCCCTTATTGCAAATCTGAAGCATGCAAATTGTAACATTGTAACTTTATTTCGAATCTGCCTACCATTAGAATTATGTTGCACGTTATGCGATATATTAACGTGCCAACCAAAATCTCCATTTGGGAATAGTAAAGGATATGCCAATGGATCCAAAGCAGAATCTAATACTGATACATTCTTAACCACACCATTTGTTTTTGAAAAAGATATCATATTTCTCTCAAATGGTGGTTCACCATCTACAGTCGTAAATATAACAGCAACATCAGTTCGAGTTGCATCATTATATCTTCGTATATCTGTATCACGATTCACGGTAATTGCCATACAAATCTCTTTTTGTGCATTGCATACTCCATCACAATGTTCTTTCATTGAACGAAATGAACGAATAAATGGATTAATTCTATCCAATTCAACAGAAATTTGTTTCATTAAAACAGCATCGCAAGTTTTATTTGATTGCTCTCGCATTCTATATTGAACAGCGGTATCGACATCGTAAAAATACAACTGGGCATAATTTGGCGTACGACCATGCGCTGTGATCATGGGTCCTGCTCTGTGATAAAATATGTCGTGAATTTTGAAATGATAAATTCCTCTTAAAACTGTGTCCGAAATATAAGCTTCCGAACTGACCATAGCATAGGCCGAATTGTAGCTTCGAATATTGTCAAAATAATTTTTGGACTTTTTCTTTATATTTTTATCATTTGATGTGAGACCGTCATACAAAGAATTAAAAAAATCATTTTGTGTTAATAGTGGAAGATGAACTTTACCCTTATGACAACACATAGTGAAGGAATTTCTTTCACGCATTGTAGACTCTGAAGCAAAATGCTTAGCTAAACAATGCCTACAAACCAAGTTCATAGAACCAATATGAAAGGGATCAAAATTAGACGGTACTTCAACCAATGCACATTTGAACGAACTTCGCAAAGGAACTGAATTATTATCAACATTATCATTAACTTCAATTAAATTTAAATTTGTATTAATTACATTTTGTGTTCTACGCAACTGCATATTTTCTCTACGTCTTTGTCTCTGTACTCTCCCTGTAAGCGATTTATGGTAAGGCATGATAAAATAGATATACCTATGTGTGCAATATACTTCCAAAAAAAAATTTTAGTAATTAAATGAATGACTGATTAGCAATAAATACCGAACATACAAATTACGTTTACAATTCCATTCACAAATTGAAAATATAGAAAAAATAAACTCACCAATAATAAAAAAAGCAATGGGATATCGTCACATCACACGATGAAATTATCTCTCGAATTGTTAATGTTGATTCAACCAATTAATTAATCTTAATTATCGCACAATTCACAATTAAAATTTATCACAATTAAAATTTATCACAATTAAAATTTAACTATCCCACAATGCACTTGTAATTAATCTAAAAATTTCAAACACACCAAAATAAAGCGAATGATTTCAAGGATTATATCCACTTCAATGTCTTTTTTTTTCACAAACAATACTTGAAATTTAATGAGTATTAAAAATGTAATATATAGTAACCGAATTCAGTGTAGCAACACACAAAGTCCAAACACAATTAAAAGTGGAAAAAAATCGCACACACAAATCCACCGTAAACAATACACAATTCGCCACAAAAAAAACCTTGAAAAACACATGTATTTTGTTGTTGTGGTCGCTAAATTTACGTCAACGCATTTTTACCTGCGTTTCCGTAAACATACATGCGAAAAAATAACATTGTGTTCTTCTGCACGTCTTTACCTGTTTAACGGTATAAATTTTATCCATATATTTATCCATATATTGTAACTTTATTTCGAATCTGCCTACCATTAGAATTATGTTGCACGTTATGCGATATATTAACGTGCCAACCAAAATCTCCATTTGGGAATAGTAAAGGATATGCCAATGGTTCCAAAGCAGAATCTAATACTGATACATTCTTAACTACACCATTTGTTTTTAAAAAAGATATCATATTTCTCTCAAATGGTGGTTCACCATCTACAGTCGTAAATATTATATCTTCGTATATCTGTATCACGATTCCCGGTAATTGCCATACAAATCTCTTTTTGTGCATTGCATACTCTATCATAATGTTCTTTCATTGTACAAAATGAATATCTCTCGAATTGAAGTGTTGTTAATGTCAATTCAACCAATTAATTAACCTTAACTATCACACAATTCACAATTAAAATTCATCACAATTAAAATTTAACTATCACACAATACACTTGAAATTAATCTAAAAATTTCAAACTCATTAACCTTAACTATCCACATTTCACAATTAAAATATATCACAATTAAAATTTATCAAAATTAAAATTTATCACAATTAAAATTTAACTATCACACAATGCAAATAAAACGATTGATATCAAAGGATATTTCCACTTCAATGCGTTTTTTTTATTCACAAACAATATTTGAAATTTAATGAGCATTAAAAATCTGATTGTAACAGAATCCACGAAGTCCAAACACACAAAGTCCAAACACACAAAGTCCACTTTTTTCTAAAAGTGGAAAAAAATCGCACAAACAAATCCACCGTAAACAATACACAATTGGTCACAAAAAAAAACTTTGAAAAACACATGTATTTTGTTGTTGTAGTCGCTAAATTTACGCCAACGCATTTTTACCTGTGTTTCCGTTAACGTACATGCGAAAAAATAACATTGTGTTCTTCTGCACGTCTTCACCTTTCCAACGGTATAAATTTTATCCATATATGTCAACGGCAACACAGTTAAAAGGGGGTAACAAACTTTTATGTTAGCGTAATTATATATAGATTTCACAAGTTCAAAATAACTGACAGAATTAAAATATTAATTGTTCTTTATGTGTCATCTGTCATCTTGGCAGAGTTGCCAACACCTCCCCTTTTGAGATTAAATCTCCAATGCGGTGATTCTAGGGTCTATAACGGTCAATAGGATGTCTAGTACGCCTTGGTCGTGTATACGGAACAACTGCCTCATTGTGCTTCTCAGTTTGAGGGATTGCAATCTCGGTTACTTCGTTGAAAGATTGATCTGGAGTCGAAACCATGTTGTTGTTAGTTATTTCGACCACATCTTTAGGTGTTGTTTCGTAGAGGCCAAATGCATCAACTAAACACTTTTCGTTGGCGATATCTTCGGAAGTACATATTTCTAAAGATAACTCATTTCCTTGATCTTTTCGGTCACGAATTTGATTGGCATGTGCACGAATAAGTTTGCCATTTTGTAAGCGAACATTATAAATGACGTTACCTATGCGTTCGATTATTTTACCTTTTGTCCATTCAAAGTGTTTGTTTTTGAATATGTTGACATAAACGAGCTCTTGTTTTTCGTAAAACTTTGGCTTTGCACCATGCCTTTTGTCAAATTGCGCTTTCATTTTGAGTTGTGTATCGCACTTGTTTTTAAACTTGACATTTGGGTCTGACACCAGCGTTGGTTTAATCAAGTCAAGTTTAATACGGATTTTTCTTTTTAGTAAAACTTCAGCTGGCGATTTACTGTCCTCATTTTGCTTATTCGGAGTTGATCGGTAAACTTGTAGAAATGTTTGAAGATTTTCAGCAGTTACCCCCTTCCCATTTAACTTTTTTAGTGCTCGCTTTAAAGTATCCACAAACCTTTCGGCTTGTCCATTTGACATGGGATAGTACGGACTGCTTCGTATATGACTAATACCGTTTTCCGCTAAAAACTGTTGAAATTGGTGACTCACAAATTGAGTACCATTGTCTGAAACTATTGTCTTCGGTAACCCAAATCTAGCGAAAATTTCTTTCAAGCTGGAAATTGTTTGAGTTGCTGTTATAGATTTTGTTTGTATAATTTCTGGCCATTTTGAGAACGCATCGATTACGACCAAATAGTAGTATGAATCTATTGGTCCTGCATAATCAATATGCAGCCGTTCCCAAGAATCAGAAGGTTTTGGCCAAGGATGTAAAGTTGTTTTTGTGGGCATTTTAGCTGCTGCGGCACAATTTGAACAACTTTTCACCATTGCTTCAATATCGTGATCGATATTTGACCAATAAACGTAGTTCCGTGCGATGGCTTTAGTGCGACCTATGCCTTGATGACCTCGGTGAATTTCTTTAAGAATGCGCTTTCGGAAAATTTGAGGTATAATAATGCGTTGTCCGAACATTAAACATCCGTCAACTATACATATGTCGTTTTTTCGGTTAAAGTAAGCTTTTAACTCACTGTTGTTGCAGTTTGATGGCCATCCTTCAGTAACATATTCGAGAATTTTAGCTAAAACCTTGTCCTTAGCTGTTTCGTAAGTAATCATTTTGCTGGTAAGCGGCAGCTTATCAAGTGAGTTATGTAAAATTTGTTTACTTTCAATTTCAAACTCTACTGCAGCGATGACATAGTCTTCTGAAGGATTGATTGTGTTATGTATGAGTCGTGATAAAACGTCTGCATACCCAAAACTGTTAGTTGAAATAAACTTTAATTCGAAGTCGTATGCAATCAGTTTAATTGCCCAACGTTGAAGTCTATTTGCTTGATGCACCTTAATTCCCGTTTTATCACCAAATATAGCTAGAAGAGGCTTATGATCTGTTTGAAGTTTGAATCTTCTCCCAAAAACCATTCTGTGAAATTTCGTAACCGCGAAAATAAGCGCAAGAGCTTCTTTTTCTATTTGGCTATATTGTTTTTCTGTGGGCGTTAGTGATCTGGACGCATGACATATTACTTTCATTGAACCGTCGTCAGCTTCATGAAAAATGCAAGCTCCGAGCCCATAGTTAGATGCATCTGCAGCGACTACTATGTTTTTTAGTGGATCGTAATGCGCTAATAATAACTCTGATGACAAAATTTGCTTGAAACCATCCAAACAGCGTTGATGAAGTTCCGTCCATTGCCACTGCTTGTTGTTTTGAAGTAGTTCGTCTAATGGTCCTCGGTATTTGCGCATGTGATTTATGAATTTTCCATAAAAATTGATAGCACCTAAAAGTGATCTAAGTTCGGATTGATTGGTTGGCGCAGGCATTGTCTTGATTGCTTCAATGTTTTTTGGATCTGGGCGAATGCCGTCTTTACTGACAATATATCCCAAGTAAGCAATTTCAGGAACTGAAAAATTGCATTTTGCGATCTTGAGTTTAAACCCGTATTGATAAATACGTTGTAGAACTTCATGTAAGTTGTTGTCATGCTCTTGTTGGTTTCTACCTGAGACAAAGATATCGTCAATGTAAGCAGCTACGCAATCTAAGCCCGCAAGCATTTTATCCATAATTTGTTGAAAAATTGCCGGAAAAGTTTTGACGCCAAAAACCATACGCTTGTATTTGAATAAACCTAGATGCGTGTTTATTGTGAGAAGTTCTTGCGATTTGCTATCAACTTCGATTTGGAGAAAAGCGTCCGAAAGGTCTATATGACTAAATACTGTTGCATTGCTAATTTTTGCAAAAATATCCTCTGGAAGCGGTAGTGGATATTTGTAAGATTCAAGCGCGTCGTTAAGACCAGTTGAGAAATCAGCGCAAATACGAATGCTACCATTTGGCTTTTTGATAACTACGATTGGTGCGGCCCAGTCAGAGTAATTGATGGGTGCGATAATGTCGAGATCTTGAAGTCGCTTAATTTCTTCTTCAACCAAATGTTGAACTGCGTATGCTACCGGGCGCTTAGGTCGAAAAACAGGTTGACAGTTTGGTTTAATAATTAAATGTGCCTTAGTTTTATTACAAAGACCCATAGCATTATCGAAAAGTTCTGGAAATAATTTTTCCGGAAGAAATTTGCAATTCGACGACTTTATTGAAACATTACTTGCCTCTTTTGTAGTTGAAATTTGGCTGCAAATAGCATTAAGCGTCATATCGCTAAGTTGAAAAGCAGTTATCCAGTCCAATCCGAATACGTTCAAATCGATTATTGTAACAAAGCACGTAAGTGTTCTAATTGTGTCTTTTAACTGCACATCACATGTAAATTTTGCGTACAATGGTAAGTTTCCAGTTGCACTTTTAGCAGATTCTGGTTGTACTTCCATTGTATTTAAAATATTTAATTTGTCGAAATTAAATTTTGAAATGATAGTTATGTCCGATGCAGTATCAAATTGCAATTTGATTCGCACATTGTTGATTTTAACGTGGACATATTTACGCTGTGAAGCTGTGATGCTGTTCGTTGTGTATATACTGTTGGATCGTGGCTGTGAAAATGTTTTTGCTTTACCATTGCTATTATTTTTGTTGTTGCTATTGCATTTTGATTTTGATAAATTTTTCACTTTGCAAGAACCTTTTTTATGGCCTATGTTGTGACAGTCTTCGCATTTATAATTTTTGTATGGGCAGTCACGCACATAATGCATTGCTCCACAAAACCAGCATGGTGTTTTCGGTTTGTGATTGTTCTTAAGCTTATTTGCTTGTACTCGATTCACCTGATTTTCGCGTGATTTATTTTCTACCAGCGCTGTGTCGGATTTTAAATTAATAATACGCTGACACTCGTTTGTAAGTTTTTCCAAGTTGATGGTATCAGCTTCTGTGTCCAGTTTGGTCAATATTCGGGTTCTTATTTCGAAGTCTGCTTCCGATTTCAGCCCCAATACGAACATTAAACATTTGAACTGGTCCAGTGACAGGCTATTCAATTTAAAATTTTCACATTGTTTATTAACCTCAGCTGCGTACGTAGTATAGTCTGCATCTGGTGGTTTGGTTAACTGTAAGCAGCTATAGCGTAAGCTGAATTGTGACTTTTGGAGTCCAAACAGTTGTTTTAATTTCTCCACTGTTGTAGTGAAATTATATTCACGTGGATGCTTAGGCAAAATAAAGTCCATATATTTGTTATGCACAGTTGTACTGAGTTTCCTTAATAGAAGCCTGACCTTCGCTGCGTCATCAAGTTTGTTACCATCTACTAAAAACAAATCTTCATACCTCGTATACCACGTTTCAAATGTTAAGTTATTTTCTGGATCAAAAACAAATTCCGTGAGACTCGATGCTAAAATCTCCATTGTTTGCTCCGGTTTTTCTGTTTTCGGAACTGCTTTCATTTGCAAACACTCCTTGAAAAGTTCACGCATTGCTTCGGTGTCTTTCGCACGTTGGTTTTGCATTTCTTGGAAAAATAACTTGAATTCTTGTGGATTCATTTTTTTTTTGTGTACATATATTTTTCATGTAATGCAAAAAAAAAAAAATATCCTCGTCGCCACTGTTATATCTGTATAATTTAGATATTTATTTATTCAAAAAACTCCAAGTTATTATTATTTCACAAGTTCAAAATAACTGACAGAATTAAAATATTAATTGTTCTTTATGTGTCATCTGTCATCTTGGCAGAGTTGCCAACAACCATCATAGTTGAAATTGGTAATAATATCTTTTCCAAGAATGTTGTGCAAATTTTTTGCAAACCCTCCATTTGAAATTGTTTTTTGAATATTTAAAATCTAAATATAAGAAGAGAAATATGAGTAATTAAGATATATTAAGTATTAAGTATCTTACCAAAAGTGGCTTCATTATAAGATGCAATATTTTTATTGGCCACAAACTTTGAGATGAACTTTTAAAGACAGGTAATCCATCAATTCTAATATCCAACATAATTTCTGTATTTCCACTTAGAATATCTTCCGGAATTTTATTTAATTGGTTTTTTAAACCTATATGAATGTAACTTCCGGGAGAAACACTTCTAACAACTGTTACCTTCTTTTTTTCTTTTAGCAAACCACTTAAACTTACTGGGACATCTAAGTTTTCAGATTTAAGTAACTGAAGTAAACTGGTTGCGCATTGCCTTGTTGGATTATGTTGAAAGTACCACAGCCTTAATTTATCTCTAATATTTATATTTGAAGTTAAATTTGGTTCGGAATGCACTGAATTTTCAGAAATAGCGTCACCTAATATATTATCGTCAGAAAGAGTTAAACTGTTTTGTGCAATTACAAGTGATGTATTCTCTTGTTCTAAACATTCTGTGCTTTCTTTCAATTTTTTTATTAAAGCCAATTTTTCAGCCCTAATTTTTCTTTTCCACGTACTTCTACTACTCATTTTCAAATAAAAGTATATTTACAATTGTTTTGTTACAATTGTTACTTAAAATTTTTCAGTGTTTTGCACTATTATTTAATATTTGTATGGTTCAGTTGTCTTTTCATTTATTTTAATTAGTTTATTTAATTAGTTTATATATTCTTATTACTTTTAATAAGCACTATTTATAAATTATTTCACTCGCGATCAGCATATTTTCGAATTCACGAACGGACTAATTTTGTTAGAATTTCATAACTTGCAATAACTTAACTTAACAAAGAAGAGACAGTAGTCTAGACTACAACGAAATAAAGCAAAGGTTAGCCAAAACGAAAAAAAAACAGATATACTTAAAAACAAAACATGCAAATATGATTTGAACACCGCTTGCGTGTACGCAATGCGCATCAACTCCTTTAGTGACGCCTTTTTAGTAAAGGCCTTTTTGAAGTACTTTAACGAAAGGCCTGTGAATTTCATTACACCTTCTGATGGAGTGCTTTTAAAAGGCCTTTTTTTGACAAGGCCTTGAGTATTCTGCTACTGGGTTAATTTAAATAAATTTTATTATAATATAAAAGATATTGGAATTTTATTAAATATAATTAATTACAAATACATGCATTTTTTAAAATCTTTTGGCGGCCTTTTCTACGCAGCGAGTGTGTAAGGCCTTCCTCAGAATTTGTGTTGCAGTGCTTTATAAAGGCCTTTTCTACGCAGCGAGTGTGTAAGGCCTTCCTCAGAATTTGTGTTGCAGTGCTTTATAAAGGCCTTTTCTACGCAGCGAGTGTGTAAGGCCTTCCTCAGAATTTGTATTGCAGTGCTTTTTAAAGGCCTTTTCTACACAGCGAGTGTGTAAGGCCTCCGATATTGGCTCATCCAGAACAAAAAAGAAATAGTAAAAAATACAAGTGTGTAGGTACTACTTACTGCAGAAAAAGGCCTTTAAAAAGGCCTTTTTACTCCTTATTTCTGCTACTGGGAAAATTATTAACATGATTATAGCATGATTATATCTATATAACTATACCTAAAATTTATTTAAACTTAAATTAACATTATTATAAATTAAATAATATACACATTTTTTAAACTAATAACACTATAAAACTATCTATAACTATACCTAAAATTTATTTAAACTTAAATTAACATTATTAAACTAATAATACTGTAAAACTATTTATAACTATATCTAGTTAATCCCTTTTGTTGTTTTTTTTTGGTGTAAGCCTCTCTATAATATCGGTTTTTTGCAACCTTGAAACCCTTTTTTATATCGTTCCTATAATTTTCTTCACTTAGGACTTCAGTATATGCAGCTTCTGTAATATAATGCAATATTAGACAATGTATATGTTGATTTTAAAATTAAACAAAAATACTAACTGAAAAAAATATTATTGATGCGTGTATACACCTTGAAAGCGTCCTTTCCTTGTATACCATCATAGTTGAAATTGGTAATAATATCTTTTCCAAGAATGTTGTGCAAATTTTTTGCAAACCCTCCATTTGAAATTGTTTTTTGAATATTTAAAATCTAAATATAAGAAGAGAAATATGAGTAATTAAGATATATTAAGTATTAAGTATCTTACCAAAGTGGCTTCATCATAAGATGCAATATTTTTATTGGCCACAAACTTTGAGATGAACTTTTAAAGATAGGTAATCCATCAATTCTAATATCCAACATAATTTCTGTATTTCCACTTAGAATATCTTCCGGAATTTTATTTAATTGGTTTTTTAAACCTATATGAATGTAACTTCCGGGAGAAACACTTCTAACAACTGTTACCTTCTTTTTTTCTTTTAGCAAACCACTTAAACTTACTGGGACATCTAAGTTTTCAGATTTAAGTAACTGAAGTAAACTGGTTGCGCATTGCCTTGTTGGATTATGTTGAAAGTACCACAGCCTTAATTTATCTCTAATATTTATATTTGAATTTAAATTTGGTTCGGAATGCACTGAATTTTCAGAAATAGCGTCACCTAATATATTATCGTCAGAAAGAGTTAAACTGTTTTGTGCAATTACAAGTGATGTATTCTCTTGTTCTAAACATTCTGTGCTTTCTTTCAATTTTTTTATTAAAGCCAATTTTTCAGCCCTAATTTTTCTTTTCCACGTACTTCTACTACTCATTTTCAAATAAAAGTATATTTACAATTGTTTTGTTACAATTGTTACTTAAAATTTTTCACTGTTTTGCACTATTATTTAATATTTGTATGGTTCAGTTGTCTTTTCATTTATTTTAATTAGTTTATTTAATTAGTTTATATATTCTTATTACTTTTAATAAGCATTATTTATAAATTATTTCACTCGCGATCAGCATATTTTCGAATTCACGAACGGACTAATTTTGTTAGAATTTCATAACTTGCAATAACTTAACTTAACAAAGAAGAGACAGTAGTCTAGACTACAACGAAATAAAGCAAAGGTAAGCCAAAACGAAAAAAAAACAGATATACTTAAAAACAAAACATGCAAATATGATTTGAACATCGCTTGCGTGTACGCAATGCGCATCAACTCCTTTAGTGACGCCTTTTTAGTAAAGGCCTTTTTGAAGTACTTTAACGAAAGGCCTGTGAATTTCATTACACCTTCTGATGGAGTGCTTTTAAAAGGCCTTTTTTTGACAAGGCCTTGAGTATTCTGCTACTGGGTTAATTTAAATAAATTTTATTATAATATAAAAGATATTGGAATTTTATTAAATATAATTAATTACAAATACATGCATTTTTTAAAATCTTTTGGCGGCCTTTTCTACGCAGCGAGTGTGTAAGGCCTTCCTCAGAATTTGTGTTGCAGTGCTTTATAAAGGCCTTTTCTACGCAGCGAGTGTGTAAGGCCTTCCTCAGAATTTGTGTTGCAGTGCTTTATAAAGGCCTTTTCTACGCAGCGAGTGTGTAAGGCCTTCCTCAGAATTTGTATTGCAGTGCTTTTTAAAGGCCTTTTCTACACAGCGAGTGTGTAAGGCCTCCGATATTGGCTCATCCAGAACAAAAAAGAAATAGTAAAAAATACAAGTGTGTAGGTACTACTTACTGCAGAAAAAGGCCTTTAAAAAGGCCTTTTTACTCCTTATTTCTGCTACTGGGAAAATTATTAACATGATTATAGCATGATTATATCTATATAACTATACCTAAAATTTATTTAAACTTAAATTAACATTATTATAAATTAAATAATATACACATTTTTTAAACTAATAACACTATAAAACTATCTATAACTATACCTAAAATTTATTTAAACTTAAATTAACATTATTAAACTAATAATACTGTAAAACTATTTATAACTATATCTAGTTAATCCCTTTTGTTGTTTTTTTTTGGTGTAAGCCTCTCTATAATATCGGTTTTTTGCAACCTTGAAACCCTTTTTTATATCGTTCCTATAATTTTCTTCACTTAGGACTTCAGTATATGCAGCTTCTGTAATATAATGCAATATTAGACAATGTATATGTTGATTTTAAAATTAAACAAAAATACTAACTGAAAAAAATATTATTGGTGCGTGTATACACCTTGAAAGCGTCCTTTCCTTGTATACCATCATAGTTGAAATTGGTAATAATATCTTTTCCAAGAATGTTGTGCAAATTTTTTGCAAACCCTCCATTTGAAATTGTTTTTTGAATATTTAAAATCTAAATATAAGAAGAGAAATATGAGTAATTAAGATATATTAAGTATTAAGTATCTTACCAAAGTGGCTTCATCATAAGATGCAATATTTTTATTGGCCACAAACTTTGAGATGAACTTTTAAAGACAGGTAATCCATCAATTCTAATATCCAACATAATTTCTGTATTTCCACTTAGAATATCTTCCGGAATTTTATTTAATTGGTTTTTTAAACCTATATGAATGTAACTTCCGGGAGAAACACTTCTAACAACTGTTACCTTCTTTTTTTCTTTTAGCAAACCACTTAAACTTACTGGGACATCTAAGTTTTCAGATTTAAGTAACTGAAGTAAACTGGTTGCGCATTGCCTTGTTGGATTATGTTGAAAGTACCACAGCCTTAATTTATCTCTAATATTTATATTTG